GTATCTGCGCGCAGATCGGCATCGACGCCATCCGGCAGAAGATGCCGTCCTTCAGCGGCCTGGCCGAGGAGGCGTCGCGGGCGCTGCTCGCGCAGATGCGTGCGGGCCGGCTGGCCGAGTGTGTCGTAGGCGCGATGCACGCCTTCCCGGGCGTGTACGACCTGCAGGTGACCCCGTTCCCCTCCTCCCACGCGCTACCCTTCCCCCCTTACTGCATACCCCCCCTCCCGCCGCCCCCGCCCCCTCTTGCAGATGCTTGGCGCGGAGGGCCTAGGCCTGATTGCACTCGTGGAGGGAACGGAGGACTACGTGGTCGGCGCGGGCGCGCTCGCGGCGATCGTCCGCGTGATGCGCCTCACCGCGTCGAGAGACGGCGCCACGGCCGAGACGAAGGCCGGTAGCGAGTTGACGGGCACGGGCGCTGGGCTGATCGGAGGCGTCTCAAACATTCTCTACGGCAGCTCCCCGGCCGGCCTCGCCCGCAAGATGCTCGGCCTCGAAGCGGGCGTCGTCGAGGCGGCCGTCGAGCTGATGCGCGCCGAGGCCGCGGCGGAGGACACGCAGGAGGAGGGCATGCGCTTGCTCACGGCGATCATCGCCGCCGACGCCGGCCCAATACACACCAACGACCAAGCGGCTCGTGACAGGAGGCAGCGGATCCTCTTGTCTGGCGGCATCGCCGCCTCGATGGCCGCACTGCACCGCTTCCCGCTCCTGCGCACCCGTCCAAGTCGACGCCACCACGGCCGCCAATACCCGCGCTACCTGATCGAAATGATTGTTGTCATCCCGTCCTTTCTATACAGCGCGTTGGCAAGCGGGTTCCAGCTGCCGTGGCTCAACGACGTGAATGAGCAACACCGCATGACCGCGCTGAAGATTGTGGCCGAGGGCATGGCGCGCGGCATGATGATGGGCTGAAGCTGAGCGAAAAGCCACGATGCGTGGTTGGCGTAGTGTAGCGTGTGCTCTGTCGTGTGTGTGTCCATGAATTAAGTGTGTTGTGCGTGCGCATTTCGCGATGGTCGAGTGTGGGTCTCTCTCTGACTCTCGCGGGTGGGGAGAGATAGTGGGTAGGCGCGAAGGGGAAGAAGAAGGATTAACGTAATGTGATTATGGTTTATGCATATGCTCCAATGAGCGGGGCGAGGCCTCGCGCGAGGGCAGAAAAAAGTCAAATGCCCGCAGGCGCACTTGCACTTGGAGGGCTCTATCTAGATAGCGATGCGAACACGCGCTCCAAGTTCTACAAGTGAACCGAGCCATTCTCGATCGCCGTGCAAAGCTCGCTTCCGAGCTCTCTCACGCCGCGCGTAGGGCCCTTAGGGCATAGGGGCCTAGAGAACACAGTTGTCGGCCCTTTTCTCCCAAGTAAGCTAATGTTAGTGCCAGTGCGCGCCAGTCCCGTGCCTAGTGTCGTGCGAGGGACGTTGTGAGTTCTCCCAAGAGCCAAGTAAGCGCGGGTACAAGTTCCAACCCTGCAGCGGTGAGGAACGTGAATCACCTTGCGTGAGGATGGACTCTTCTTCTTCGCTCCCATAGTGTCCAGTCCGAGCCTGGCTGTTCTTCGCCTTCCTATACCTGTTTAGTGCCAGTGCGCGCCAGTCCCGTGCCCTAGAAAGAAAGAAAGAAAACGCCGCCCAAGCAGGTGGTGGATGCAAGCAAGTTGCGTTTCTTCTTCTCTCACGCAAGAACCGCCCGCGTTGCGCGAACTGCATGAGCGGCCTGGAAAATATCATCGAGGAGAAGCTTGGCCGCTGGCGGCAGCAGGGCGAGGCGGCCGAGTACTACGCGCTCCGCAACCGCGGGCCTTACAAGCCGACGGTGTCTCACGAGCTCAACCGCTTCGGCGGGCAGATGGGGCCGTATGTGGATGCGCTGCTGGACCTGCAAACGGTGGAGTACATCAACGCGTCTCCCATTGACAACCTCGGCGAGGAGGCGCCCGCCTTCATAGCGACGATGTGCCCAAAGCGCTCGACGTTCGAGCACTTTTGGATGATGGTGTGGGAGACGGGAGCGCGAGTCATCGTCAACCTGACGCACGAGCGCGACAAGGTGGGCTCGGCGCCGGCGGACAAGCGCGAGCGCTACTGGCCGCCCTTCGACGAGGTGATGGAGCGCGAGTCGCGCGGGTGGGCGGTGCAGGTGCGCACGCTCGGCCACGAGAGCTGCGAGTCGGTGGCGGGGCTGCTGCGGTACGCCGTCGAGCTGCGTGGCTCCGCCTCTGGCGGGCCGCCGCCGTCCCGCGGCGAGCGCACGCGCGTGGTGGTGCTCTACTGGTACTCGCGCTGGCGCGTGACCCTCCCCGCTGCCGCCGCGCGCGCCGCGCGCTCCGCGCTCCCACTGGCGCACCGGCACCGGAACCGGTCACCGAGGGTCGCGGATGTCAAATGTCCATGTGCTGCGAGCATGGAGGACGGGCCAACACGCACACACGCTGCACACGATTGGCTCGAGGGCCGACACGAGGCACGCTGTCACCGGCCGTCTCACTGGGCCCCGGCGGACCTAGGCTCGACTTTCCCGCCTCGTCGTCGATTGGCACCCGCCCCTTCTATGCCAACGCGGAGAATGTGCTGCACCTGGCGGTGCACCTGCAGCAGCTGCTCGCGCGCGGTGACTCCCCAGCTTGCGCGCCCGCCACTGCCGCGACACCTCCGTGAAGCCTCTCCCGGAACCGGCCGCTAGGCGAGCCCCACTGGTGCGTCTGCCACTGCTCGGTCGGCGTCGGGAGGACGGGCACGCTCCCTCTATGAACGGCGTCTCTTCACAGCTGTAGCTGTGAACAGGCCGGCGTCGGGAGGACGGGCACGCTCCCTCTATGAACGGCGTCTCTTCACAGCTGTAGCTGTGAACAGGCCGGCGTCGGGAGGACGGGCACGCTCATCGCGCTCCTCCGAGTCCTGCAGCGGCTGCCGGCGTTGCAGGTGGCGCACGCGAGCGTCGCAGTGACCGTCCCATCGCGTCCCATCGCGGCACACCGAGAGCAGCCGCCCGCCCTGCTACCCCTCTCGCCGCCGCCGCCTCGCCGCCGCCTCGCCGCCGCCGCCTCGCCGCCGTTTCGCCGCCGCCGTCTCACCACCGCCTCACCGCCGCCTCGCCGCCGCCGCCTCACCGCCGCCCCACCGCCGCCTCGCCCGCCCACCTGTAGAGCGAGGCGCAGCTCGACGGCTTCGTGCGCACGACCATCGAGCGGATGCGCGAGAGGCGTCTCTGGATGGTGAGAGAGGGAGGAGGCGGCTCGGGCGAGGCCACACGGGCCTCCTCATCGCCAGGTCCACGTGGCTCGTAGGTCAAGACGGACGTGGAGTACGCGCTGCTCTACGCCGCCACACTGCTCTGGCTCCGCCGCTCCCGCGACAAGGTGCGCGGCGCACTGACCGCACGAGCCGCCGCCCAGGCCCCGACCCGCCCATCTTCGCCCCTCCCAGCCCGCGCGACGCCGCCCCGCCGCGCGTCAGGAGTTTGAGCTGAGTTGGCAAGGCGACGGCGGCGACGACTGGGGCGCGACCGCCTTGGCGATCAGCGAGGCGTTGGGGCCGGCAGCCTCCCATCTCCAGGAGGTGCGGGAGAGTGGGCGGAAACGGGGCTCCTCCGCGACTGGTCCCCACGAGGGCTCCGGGGAGGAGAGTGGTGGCGATAACGCGATTGACAATGCGAGGGACGTGCAGAGATACCGGGATGCATCACTGCCTGCGCCCTGATCGGCCAGTCACGGCCACACGAGTCCCGTGCTGGTCACAGTAAATTCGTTAGAGATGCGTGCACGCACCTTTCGGTTTTTTTTCGCGCACGGGTTTTTGAATGCAGATTCCCGTCCGAGGTGTACTGTGCGCGGGGCGCGGCCCTGGCGCGCTGCGGCCGGTGCGCGCAGCGCGGCACCGGCAGCGGCGTCGAGGATCGCGCGGTGTGTGAACTCTGATTCAGTTTAGAGGAAGAGGTCCTCGTGGCGAGCTCATCTGCTGAAGAGGGCCAGCGCAGAGCCAATCTTTGCCTCCGCCGCCTCCTCCTCCTCCTCCGCCTCCGACTTGGCCTCCTTGGCAGCCGCGAGCTCGGCCTCCACCTTGGCCTTTGCTGCCGCCCTCACCGCGCCAGCGTCCTCGTACATGAATTCGAACACCGGCACGATCTCGAGCATTACCGGCCCGTGCTCCGCGCCGCCCATCACGACCACCGGCGCCGGTGCCGTGCCCTCGGCATGCTCCTCCATCACCCGCTTTGCCCAGCGGCTTGTGGCACCCTCGCCGTCGTTCTCCTGCGATGCGCGGTTAGCTAAGTACTTGAGCCTGCCGCGGAAGGTGCCATACCTCTCCGTGAAGGCATCGAGCGACCACTCTGGCGAGTCCAGCGCGTGGATGGAGATTGAGTGCTGGTGCGCGAGCCGCAACAAGTCTACGAGCGACTGGTTGAAGGCATCGGACCACCCGTTCGACATGACCGCCTTCTTGACTTGCGCGAGGACCGCCTCGTCGTCGACCACTCCTGGCGTGGCAAACGCCGCCCGCACGGCCGCCAGCTGCTCCTCGTAGAAGAACTCGAGCCAGAGGGATCCATTGGCGTACTTATGCAAGTCGGCCGCGAGCCGAGCCTGCTGTACCGTCGCCGTGTGATCGTCCCGCACGAAGTAGAAGCCAGAGCTTGGTCCAGGCTGCTCCGGTTGCTCTGCACTGGTGGCAGGCTGGCGTGAAGCGCAGACGCCCATGCGCTGGCGAGTAGAGGGCACGCACGCTCCCTCGACGGGCAGCTGCTCTGTCCTCTCTTTGCTGTGTTACTTTTAGCTTACTGGGAGAAAAGAGAGTGTGTTTGTTTCGCCCGCGTACATACACACACGGACAGCGGCAGCAAGGTAATGTACGGATTCACGGCCAGCAGGAGGCGGCCGCTGCGCGTGTAGATGTTGCCGGCCTTGTAGCGCTCCTCGGTGTTGTCCAGGAGCGCCTTGTCTGTGGCGCTCTTTAGCGACGAGAGCTCGCTGCAGCCAGGGCCCCAGTCCTCGTATGCCGCTTTGGGCATCGCGCTGCACTCTGGCGCGCAGCTGTGCGCCGACGGGGGGTCCTGGCACAAAGGCGGTGCGCGCCGGGGCTTCCTCGCCGCCGTGGGTGGGAAGAATTCTTGCGGCAACCTCGGAATGTGGAAGTAATTCTGGCCAGCACGCCTTTCTTCGAATCGGCCTACCGCAACGTCCAACGAGGGAGAGCAGCTCCTGTCTGCAGAGAGAGAGGGGGGGGAGAGAGCGGAGGGAGGGCGGGAGGGAGGGACGGAGAGAGAGAGAGAGAGAGAGAGAGAGAGAGAGAGAGAGAGAGAGAGAGAGAGAGAGAGAGAGAGAGAGAGAGA